TCTGCCTCTGTAGAAAGAAGAACTATAGCTTTGAAATCATGGGCACTTGAAGTAGACAAGTCATGACAGTAATAATCATCCCCCGATGTACAGTATTTTAGGAATCTGGAGGAGGGATTCTTAGTCATTTTTATGTCATCAACCCATTTGCTAGTCTGGCAAAACCTATGGACCTCTTCTCTGAATAATGTTTTTAAACGCATATAATAAATTACAGAAGACTATAAAAGAAACCAATTATTTTAAAATACTATTATGAAAATTTTTTTTTAAACCAAGTACATGAACCTCAGGTTAAGAATCTTTCCTCTATAGCTTGCTCACATTCATCATTTCACTTGATTTGGCACCTAGGAGAACTAGGAAGGGCAGAAATGACTATATTTATTATATATGACTCAAGTGACACAAAAGATATTTCAATAGCCATTCCTTGTTTTATTGTTTTCCCATGCCATAAGAAAGATGAACAAATTTGAGTCATGAATGTTGTGCTCATATGATGTTTATGATACATTTAGAATGTTGTGCAGTCTTACATTTTACTTCCTTTTCTTGCTTTATTTCAAAGATCATTCACAAATACTCAACATAATTATCAAATACCAGTGAAAACAATACTTAATGTTTTCCCTGAATTCGATAGTATCCAAGCTATCCAAGGACTGATTTCAAAGAAGAGCTGAGTTCAACTCCTGACTTTGCTGCTTGTTACCTGATTAAATTAGGATAAATCAGCTCCTCTCCCTGGGTCTCAGTTTGCCCATCTACACAATGATGGGGTTAGACAAGATGATTTCTATTGCCTCTTCCAATTCTAAAGTCCTACAGCACAAAAGAAATACAGCAAATTTACTGAAGAATAAGATCACCGACAGAAAGCTGCCAACAATGGCAAAGTGATACACCGGGTAAGAAAGGATGGTAGCTGCTCGCATGGGCGGTCTCAACATCCAAGGTTAGCCATTATTTGTTTTCTTTAAGTTATGCTTTGCTAAGGCTTTGAACTGAAATTAGCCATTGAATTTCATAGTAACATTCTGTTGATAAGAGAGGAGACCAAATGGACAAAACTAGAAATGGTATTAAATTAAGTCGCAAACAATATTCCCCAAAATATTCTGCTTCGATATTAGTTCTACAAGGTGATTTTTTTTTCTGAATGCACACATTTGGTTCATTAACATAGTAAGATGTTAGTTTCTGACTTGATTTCATGCAAGGAATTAGTGTAAGGAAATTATTTTTTATAAAGGAGCATGAAGGTACTGAAGGAGATATTGAATGAGAAGCATAACACCTTTGATTCTTTCCAAAGCATATGTTTGCGGCTGCTCAACAAATGGGCGCCATTACTTTATGCTGATCTTTCTCCCCCCTGAAAATAGGTTAAGGGTTGACAAAGTTGGGTGCCCATGGGAAGTAGAAATGTTTACAATTAAAAAAACCCCATAAATATAGTAGAGAGCCTGCCTTAGCATAAGGATGAACTAGGTTCAAATCTACTTCTGACACATGCTGGCTGTGTGATCATGACTGAACCTTAGTGCCCCAGGTAACTCCCAAAGGCTGTAGTTTATAGACAGTTGCCATTCTGCATAAGTAGAGGGAGTTTCTATGTTGAAGGCTCACTGTACTGATGAATTCAGAGGTTCAGCCTATAAACAAAATCAGAATGGTTTCATAATCTTAACTTCAGATTATGTACACAGAGATCTCATATTTATGTGTATAATAAATTATTTTCAAAATAACAAATTCAACAAATATTTAATAAACATTTACTATGTGCAGAACATAGTTTATCAACTTAGGGAGACACAAAGTCTAGATAAAGACAGTCTGCTCTCATGGAGCTTACACTCTAGTATTCAGCTAAGACAAACTTTTTTTTTCCTCATTGCCTGTGATATCATATGTTACTTTCTCCTAAGGCATTAATGAGAAATTTTCTCGGTTGGAGTAAGAAAAGTAAACTAGCAGGGTTTATACCACAGAATTATTTCCTTTTTCATAGAATGTGATTGCTTGTAGAAAAACAAGACTCTAAATTGAACTGATGAGTAAGTTATGTGTCATGATATTGACAGCATTAATGAAAATAGGAAAGGTAATATATTAATTAATCTTTTATCTTTAACCAGCCAATGGTCATTAATCTATCATTAATCATTAATAGTCATTAATCAATAAACATTTATTAAGCACCTACTATGTGCTAGGCACTCTGCTGAGCTCTAGCAATACAAAAAGGTAAAAGATAGTTCCTGCCCTCAAGGAGCTCACAATCTGGTGAAAGAACTCATTAAGGAGAACGAGGTCTTTTTCATCAGCTATTTGGAGGATTGTCATGGGAAGTGGGATTAGTTTTGTCCTATTTGACTCTAGAAGGTAGAATTTGGAGTAATGGGTGAAAATTACAGAGAAGTAAATTTTCCCTCTGTATAAAGAGGACCTTCATAACAACTGATATCCAAAAGGAGAGCAAACTACCTTGGGAAGGTATGAGTGCCCCAAAACTGGGAGTATTCCAGGAAAGGCTAGATGACTACCTGTCAGGAACACTGTAGAGGGAATTCCTGCATCATATTGGCTGTTGGACCAGATGACCTAAGAGCCTACTTTTCAACTCTCAGTGGGTTTTCCATAAATAATACTTCTAGTGAAGGTAAGGAATCCTATAGGAACATTATATGATGTCTTAAAGGATAAAGATGAATTTCACTCATATGCCATATCTATGCCATACCCAATATCTTGGGACTGAGGGGCACATATATAAGGTCTGTCCTGAGATGAAATTAAGCATGTTGAGGACATATTTATGTGATATCACTAGATGAGTCATTTGACTATTCAGTCGAGCCCTGGGTTGATTCATACTGCTTTGCTCAATAACTTCACTGAATTGACTGACCAGTTCAGCAAGATGGGGAAGAAAGCATTGAGGACCAAATCTATTAAATATTAACATTAGTCAGTGCACAGACTAATGGCTATTCACATATACATTACTTTCAAGCATCAGTTATCCACAATTTCACTGATTCTCGCCACCCATGCAGATTACAAGCCATTTATGACACAGTAGATGGTCTTCAAGAATTACTATGGCTGAAAAAATGTATCATCCTTCAGCCAACTCAGTGATGAGCCTCTCCCAAAGGACCCCTTCCTAGGCTTAAAGTGTTTGTCTCTCCTTCTCAAGGTGTGTTACATGAGCAGTCACACTGCATTACAGATAGGACAGTAGGATAACATTTAGGTATGAGACAACAGGACAATCTACATTTATTGGCTACTCTTTTTTGTAACCTTCCCACTTGAGTTCAATTTGCACTATTTACAAAAAAGCCAAATATTTCAAGAGATTGACAGCATGCAAAGTAGATGGTGTTACGTGAAGTTTGCCAAAAAAATAAGAGTCCAAAGTGAGAAAAGATGAAACTCTAGGCAACAACGTGCTATAAATGAGTCATCATCCACCCGGGGAGGGTAATGTTTGAAAAGGTTGGCCTAGTATCTGATGTGTTCCATGGCAGTTTTTTTCCCCCAAGTGTGAATTACAAACAAAACAAAACAAAATAAACCATTTAGTATTCTACAGTATATTACAACAATAAATATATCAATAAATAGTGGGGAGAAGAGAAGAATTCACATGGGTATTTTAGCTATTGGCTGGTAGTTTTTTCATATGGATTCCCATGAATGGTTGGAATTAGCCTTTTCAGAGACAGTCCTTTATCATTTCCAGGGAGGATAAATCTACTGTAAAAATGTACAGCGTATGCATGGATGAATGAAGTAGGAGTTGATGGTGACCAGAAAAGGGATCATCAGGCAGTTAGACTTTCCCAAGAATCTGACAAATTTGCACCTTAGTATAAATAAAGTGAAGGGTCTATTGTTTTTCAGCTCTCACACCTTCTTATCATCTCCATTTGTTGCAGAAGAGTGGTGGAAACATGGCATGTGACACCACTACACATGCGGTGGGGGTGGGTAGCAGGAACTTCACAGATGTTTCCATTCAGTACTTATGTGGATAGCTCTTTACCTCTCCCTCTCTAGAGAAGTCACCAAACTAACAGAAAAACAAGGATAAACTGCATCATAGTTCACTAGAACCCTCAATTAATCATACTTTTCTGCATTTATTATTTACCAGGAAGAGGTAAATCACAGCAAAATGAGCTTGTGTCAGGGACTTATATAAACATCCTGAGTTTAGCCACCCATTATCCCAATTTTCCACACCTTTATGAGAGATTCTGCCCTCACTGGTTGGTCACCTTACTGGAATGAGGGCCTTCTAGCACAAATCCATGAAGTAGCCTAACATCTGTTCTCGTTAGTGGCCACCTCACAGCTTACCCTGCGTCTGAGTGTCTCCAGCCCACAATGACATGCACAGACAAGCAGATACCAGCCAGGGACTCTGCTTTCCTGCGATCATGAAAGACAAAATACAATTCCTATTGGGCCTATGCCTCTGGGGATGGGTCTTGGTCTCTAAACATATTCTTTCCTTTTTCCTTATGTTCACTAAATGACTTCTTGTCAAACCTATCCCATCATTTGTTCATTGCTCTTCTCCTGTGGGATCTAGGTTAACTCTCTAAGTCAAGTGACTTCCCTAGCAAATGCTACCTCCCCAGTACAAATACTTAGCTTCAGCACTGGGCCCTTCTGCAAGAAGGAAGGCCAAAAGAATGGTGAAAAGGTTTTCATTTGAGAAAATAAAAGAACTACATTTTTCATAAGGGTGATATAATTTTACATTGATTTTTTTCCAGTACCTGATTAGCTTGAGATAGAAATATAAATCGTACTCAAACATAGAAACTTTTTAGAGGCAAAATAAATATGTATATATAGATATGTTTATCTATATATATATAGATATATGTTATACCTATGTGTCCTTGGGCAAATTATTTAACCTCTCTAGGCTTCAGTTTTCTCATCTATAAAATGATTGATTTGGATTAGAAGATCTCTAAGATCCTTTTCATCTCTGATATACTATGAATTTACTATTTTGACGAGTGCGTGTGTATATATCCATATACATACTATATGCATACACATATAGTGATCGCTACAATCTTTTGATATCTACTCCTGGTGCGAAAGTGACTTTGGGTCTTTGAAGGCTACAGAACACAGATGCTGGCAAGTCCTACCAAATTGGAAAGACTTTGAGTATGAACCCAGTGATGGACTCTGACTGCTGCCCACGGACCAGACTAGCTAAGTGACTGGAGGCTCAACACTAGAGGGCTATCCACAAAATAATGAGTTTTCTTGGCCATAGCGACTAATAAACACATCTCCTAAGGTGTGGAGGCATTTGAGGCATTTGTCAATGGAGGGAACACATTGATGAAATCATGAAGTATTGTGGCATCTACATATACATATAAGTGTTTACGTACATACATGTATATGCATGTATATGTACATATTGGCTTTATTTTTCTGCTTGGGGAGCCATATGTTATGTGAGACATTGCAATAAAGGATGGGTAGAAATTGTCATTTGGATGTGCCATTTTTAAGTATAGGTACGTTGCCTGGAAATGGCAAATTACAAGGAAATCCCCCAGAAAGAAGCAGGCTGAATAGCAAAATATACATTTTCTACAACCCACCAACGTACCTATTTTTCTGAGGCAGTCCCCTTCTGTTTTCTGTACACCCCTCCTTAAATAATCTTATTAAATAGGCACTCGAAATATACAAAATTTACAGTTCTTGAATATGCTACCATCGCACATCACTCCTTTCTTTCTCATTGGCTATCTACAGCCACATTCTGACACAGCCATGCCTTCATATTTAAACTTGTAGGTGACAACTCCTTTGTCTAAGTATAGGATTGAGATGGGATCCAGTTTGGTGGGCACACAGCAAGCCTTGGCAGCTTTCTGGGGGTTCTTCAGGTGGACTAGTGCTTGGATGATGGCATGCTTTGTGGGGTGAGGTGCTCTGCCAGAGGGTAAGAACAAACTCCCCGACACTCATATGCTTCATATCCTGGAGGAGCTATGATCCAGGAATCCCAGCCAATCTCCTTGAAGTCAATGTAGAGTGGAGTCTTTTTGCAATAGTTCCCCTTGGCATTTCTCCTGATTCGAGCAGTGGAGTCATAAATAATGTTGGATCTCATCTGCAATAGAGCTTCTTCCCCAGGACCATCATGGTAATTATCGGTTTCTAGGTTGTCCAGTTCCAGAAGGTCCTCATGATCTATCATTTCACTCAACTCCTCTTTCTCCTCCTTTTTGTCACTGCTCTGGTCATCAGAAAACACGATGAGTAAAGGGACATGATTGTTGTGGGCACTGATGTCTATCTCCAGCTGACCCCTCTCTGAAAGCTCAGCCTCCTCATTTCTGCTCTCTATGTGGACTTCCAGCCGGTGGGTAGTGGAACCTGATCTTCGCCAACGCCTGATGGCATCCGTGACATCAAAAGCCTCCCACTCACTACTGGTTCCATAGATCTCTCCTGACACCAAAACCAGCATTTTTCTTTCCTCTCCTTCATTTTCTTGCACTTCGAAAATGGTCACTTTTCGTTCTATGCCATCAAATAGCAGGTGGCTCCTCTGGGCCAAGGCATAGAGCCTCAGTTCAGCCATGACGATTTCTTCGTGGTGAGGGATGGACACATTGAAGAGGAGTTGATATTTTTGGAGTCCATTAAAGTTAGTTGGTTGAGAAAGCAGATCTGGAAAAGGACAAAAACCAACTTTTAGATGGAAGCTATTGCCTCAAAATAAAGCAGAATCATTTACCATAAATAGGAAAAAAAAAAGTTCTACACAGAATAGATGTATATGCTTGCCCCAAATGTTCCTTCTGCATGCAACTGTTTCAAAAAAGACCTATTCAGGGCTTCCTGTATAGAAGACCCTGCACTAAGTTTAGAAAATACAAAAAGATACAGGGCACATTCCTGCTCTGTCCCAGCCTATAATTCAAGAGTGGCAGGGATGGCATAGGGTAAGATATGGCTGAATGATTTGGGGAAAGAACAGATACAAAGATAATTATGATATAAAGGGGAGTGACATAAATGCAAAGAATAGGTCCAAGCAACGTCCTATGAGAAACCTGAGGTATAAGATATTTCTGTCCCTAGCGTTAATGTCAGAGAAGCTCTATGGAGAAGGTGGCACCTGAACAGGGCTGTAAAAAGAGGGAGGGACTTCAGCAAATGAAGATATGGGTTGGAGAGGGTCAGAGAGTCCATTTCAGGCGTGAGAAACTGAAAGCAAAGACATGGAGATTAGCATGAAAATGGGGGGGTGGAGTGGAGAGTACTCCAGTTTGGCTGGAACATGAAGCATCAGAAGAGGAGGGGTAGGAGATAAGGCTGGAAATGTAGGTTGGAGCCAGATTGTGGAGTGCCTTCAATGGAAGAGTCAGGAGTTTTTGCTTTATTTGGTAGGCGATGGGGATCCATGTTCACAGCTCAGGAATGTTCCCTTTGTTATACTCATCCCATCCTCATGGAGTCACTTCCTATACTTTCATTTTATCATCCATGAGCTTTCATTTTGCACTGAATCTCCATCCACAAAGCCAGAGCATCATGGCCCATGTGAACTTTCTGGCTTAGAGTAAACAGCTCTAACAGGGGCTAGATGATTACATTCCCAGGAGTCATTTCATTCCTGGAGTTCTATTCTGCCCCGCAACCCTGTCTTGTTATACTCTCACCCAGTCCCCCCGGCGTAGGGCAGGCAGCAACCAAGATCCAGTAGCCCTGGCCTTTGCCTTACAACACCACTCAGTGGAGACTGTGAGCAATACAACTTCTCTCCCACCCACCCACCCACCCACTACTTTACCACTATGGACAGAAAACTCCCACCACCTATAATCCTCTAACCCTATAGTGCTCAATTACCTCATACTTAGGTGTAAACTATCCTTAATACCTACTTCCTATTCTCCCCTCCTTATCTTCCTCAACACTGCCCCACTCATGTCCCATTCCAACTTTGCCCATGTCTTCCACTGAGCCCTCAGGAATTCCCATTCCATAATAAACATACTTCTCTTCATTCTGGATATCTTCTTATATTCCTTCCATATGCTTGCTCTTAGAGACTTTGCTTCCTTCACATGAATCCTTGATCTTCCCCTCCAGCACTAGCTATAGTATACCAAGACACTGGAGGAGGAGTCCCAATATCCCTTGCTCCCCACTGACACTTCACAGTTTTTATTGTCCTTCACTTTTCTGCTTCATTTGAAAATATTGACTACCCATTCCTCCTGGATATTCTCTCCATTCTGGGTTTTTGTGATATTATTTTCTCCTAATTCTCCTCCTACCTGTTTAACCATGCCTAATCTCTCTGTCTCTCTGTCTGTCTCTGTCTCTCTGTCTCTCTCTCTGTCTCTGTCTCTCTGTCTCTCTCTCTTTGTCTCTGTCTCTCTCTGTCTTTCTGTCTCTCTCCTCTGAGCTTTGACATCACCAACCTCCATTTTTACCTTTCAAACTGGATTTTCAAGAGTCATCTCAAATTCAATATATTCCAAACAGAATTAACTATCTTTCCCCACAAACCCACACCTCTTTGAAGCTTTCCTATTTTTTGAGGGCATTTCCCAGGTTCATAAACTCTGTGTCATCCTCTATTCCTAACTCTCCCTTGATCCACATATCCAATCAATTGCCTAATCTTGCTGTTTCTACCTTCATAACATCTTATATTCAACCCCTTCTCCTTTCTCACTCAACCACCAAACTTATTTCAGACTCTCAACCCCTCTTGCCTAGACTATTGCAATATCCTTCAAATTGGTCTCCTGCCACTCTGATCGATCTTCCATATAGCTGCCAAAGAGACTTTCTTTAAACACAGACCTGACCATGTCAATCCCCTACTCAATTAACTCTATTGGTTCTCTATTATTTCTAGGATAAAACATAAAGTCCTTATTTTGGTTTGTTTTTTAATGCTCTTCATAACCTTGTTCTGACCTATCTTTCCAGATTTATGTACATATATATACATATATATATGTATATATATACACACACATATATACACACACACATACATACATGTATATGCATATGTATATGTATATATGTGTATATGCACATATATGTATATATGTGTATATGCACATATATGTATATATATGTGTATAAATATATATGTGTGTGTGTGTATGTGTGTATATATATATATGTGTGTGTGTTATATATATATATCTGTATCTTCCCTTCTTCTGCTATACAGTACAGTCAGATTGGTCTTCCATTTGGTTCTCCATTTCTGTGATTTTTTTTTTGCACTGGTTGTTCTCTGTGCCTAGAGTATGTACTCTCCTCATCCCTTTCTTGTTAAATCCATTTCTCTCTTCAAGACATAGCTCAAGAATTACCTTCTATATGAAACGTCTCCTGATCTCATCCTTTCCTTCCCCTCTCCCTGCCAATGCCCTACCTCCTATTTTTATATTCATATGTTTTCTCCCCTGATAAAATGTAAGCTTTTGAGAGTAGGATTTATTTCATTTTTGGGGTATCTGTATCCCCAGTGTCTATCATAGTTCCTGTAACATAGAAAGTATTAAATAGTAAGCCAAAATGAAAGTAATAAGGTCAAGTTACATTCAATGCAATCTGACAGTTATTGTTTACTATGTGCAAGATATTGTCCCTAAGTGACCCCAAGATTAGGTGGGAAAATTTTTTGCCATTGACAATCAACCTCGTTAGAACTAGAGACTTATTTTCCTCATTCTCTTAAGCAACTCAAGTTTTCTACACTATCAGGAGCATAGGTTGAAATAATCACTTAGCTCAGAAGATCTAGAATTGGCAGAGTCCCTAGAGGTCCAGCTAGAGGACACTAAGGCCTAGGCAAGGAATTGCCCTAAGGTCATCTAGTAACTGGTAGGGCCAGGATTTGAACCCCTATCCTTTGACTTTGGGGTCACTAGTTATCTCCCTACTTTAATAATCCATGATTTTATGAATATATGAATGAAAAAAAGCAATTTTAAAGACACCATGGGGGCTCAGGGCATAGGCACTGGAAGGCATGTTTCAAGAATACGGATGAATGATATATTTCAATGCGTTTGTGTATCTCTCCTTTAGTTGGAGGCCTTAATGTGGCAAGAGCTTTGGACTGGCAATTAGGAAACCTGGGTTATGGTCCCAACTCTGCTGCTTACCCCTGGGTGACCTTAGACAATCATTTCCCCTGACTGGGCTTCATATTTGTCTTCTATAAAATTAGGGAATGGACCCAGATGATTGCTAACATCCCTTACTATTCCAAACCCAAGAACTAAGCTATGACCTCAACTCATGTCCATGGTGTTGTGACCTCTTCCAACACTAACATTATATGGTTCTGTGTCTTTAAATGGGTTATTAATAGAAGTTTAATTTTTTCTGAAGATCTTTCAGACTAAAAGTATTTCCCTGTTGCCCACCAGATGTGGTGTGCGTGACCTCCAAGTCTCTAAGGCAATGCTAGCAGAGGGCATACATGGCAGATCCTATCAAGTTGAAAGGGCTGTGTCTATGGTCTGAGAGCCAACATAGCTAATTTCACCAGAACAAAGAATGGCAATCCATTAAACAGATTCTTAAAGTCTGGATATAAATGTCTCTGTACAATTATGGGGTTGGGTTAGGTGACTGCTCAAAGAGAACTGCTTTTACTCCTTTAGACCAGAAAGGACCTTATCTAGTCTAACCTTTTAGAGAGGAGCTGAAAATCCTTTTTACCCTAAATGCCAATATATCCTATGCACACTTTACTGTAATATAGCCCAGACCTCATATCAAATAACTGTTACATATGAGTTAAAGCCTCTATTTCCCTACTTTAGAGTTCCTGATGTATAGAAAGACTACACACACACACACACACACACACACACACACACACACACACACACACACACACACACGTATAAGTAGTTGCTTAAATTATAGTTTTGAAAATTGCTTCAACTGTCTTACCAACTCATCTATGAATTATGGACTGATCTATACTTCTTATCTTAATTTGAGATAATTTAAAGTTTAATTAACTATTTTCAGTATCAATGCATGAAGGCTTTAGACTAACTTATACTTACCCCATGACAGACATTCAGATCAAATAAAAAAAGGAACAATTTTGACATTGCTGTATTTTGAGAATGTAGGTGGCCCAGTGGATAGAGTGGAGCCTGGAGTCAGGAAGACTTACCTTCATGAATTCAAATTTGGCCTCAGACATTTACTAGCTATGTGACCCTAGGCAAGGCACTTAACCCTGTTTACCTCATTTGCTTCATCTGTAAAATGAGCTGGGGAAGGAAATGGTAAACCACTCCAGTATCTTTGCCAAGAAAACCCCAAATGGGGTCACAAAGAGTCAGACACAACCGAAACAACTCAATAACAGGATACATTTTTAGAATTTGCTCAGGCAACAATCACAGAATTTAATGATTCTAGTCTAACTTACCTCTAAATAGAGATCCCTTCTGTGAAATAACTGACAAGCATCACCCGAAGACTTCCAGGGAAGGCAGCTTCATTGCTTGCCAAGGCAGTCTGTTCTACTTGCAAATTGATTGGAAGTTTTTCCCTGAATTAAGCCCAATCTATCTCCTTGTGCTTTGCACCCATTGCTCCTTCTTCTGCTTTCTTTTTGGCCCCAACAGAACAAGTTTAATCCCTTGTTCAGAGAGTAAAAC